ACATATGGTGGGTATGATTTATTTTGAAAAGGAATGTGAGAATTCTTCTAGGATCCTAGGAGGTATACGTGCTACGAAGCTTTCACTGCTATCAGAGGATGATCCTAAGAACGACCCAAAGGCAATCTGTTAAGAACAATGTGATGGAGACTTGTGAAGGTACTAGTAATGTTGATGCAGAAGTCAGTGGCTAAGATGTTGAGTTTGATGATTGGAAAGACTCTATTTTCTTGGTTAGCCAGGGAGGAGTTTTGGTGGTTTATTTTATTGTCATTTCTGCTATCCGGGTTATTTCAGGGTTGTAATCCGGATATTGTCTTGTGACTCAAACCCTTATATCCTTTATTTTGCTTAGTTTGTTTAATCATAATAGCCCATTTAGTGTTGTCTAGGTTTGCTCTAGGTTTGTAACCCCTGTTTAGTTTGTTTGTTTTGTTGTCCAAACCCTTTCACCATCTGTCTAATGCAATTTTCTGTTTTCTGTGATTTCTAGTCATTTTCATTTAGTTCTCTTTTCTTTTTATAGTTCTTTTCCTGTTGACTCTAGTGACATGACATGCACGCGTAATTCTCATCCTGGTTTTAAAAGTCAGTTTAATCACAAAGCAATGAAACAATGTTGAAGATGTAGGGACATTGGAGGGAAATAAGTAAAGGCATTTTGAGATCACTTCAAGCCCGAATTGTGTGAAACTGGGGCAGGTAGAACATAAAAATACACTATTGAAATGCATCATGCTGCATCGGGTGAAGATAATGGCAAGTTTGCCCCAAATTGGCAGTGGCCGTTCGTGGTAACAAAAGTGTTGTCCAATGGTGCTTTGTATTTAACATATGTAGAAGGCAAATGTGTGGATATGGTTATCAATTCTGATACAGTTAAAAGATATTATGTATGATTTCTTTAGTTTGTTTAATTGTGTTGTTTGTTTTGGCATGCTTTGAAGATTGGAATGACGAAGACATTTTATTCTGCTATCTAATCACTTTATTCTTTGTTACCTCTTCGAGCCTTATTTATTTTCTTTTATATCCCTCTTTTGGAATCAGAAGCAGAGTTTAGAAATATAGATACAAAATTAAAAAAAAAAGAGAAAAGAGGAAAAAAGAAGAGAAAAAGAGAAAGAAAAATGGGAAAAGAGTAAAGAAAAGAAAAGAAAAGAAAAAAAAAGAGAAAAAAAGAGAAAAGTACAAAAACGAAGCAATTCATATGTCATGAACTAAGTTCGACCTGATTCCTTTTAAAGATACGTAGGCAGCCTCATGGTTTGGTCTCATCAAAATAAAAATCCAAAAGTCCCCAAGCAAGAAACTGGGGCAGAAGTTGTGGTTGTTGTAAGAAATTTGATTCTGAAAGTTGTAATATTGAACCCATGTGAATTGTTTTGAGCCTTTAATATCCTTTATTTCTAACCCTATCCAAAAGCCCACATTACGGTCCAAAGAAAGACCTTCCGATCAGTCTTCGATAAATGTCAGGTCAAACAACGAGAGGTAATGCATATCAGGGGAAACACTTTGGTCCAAGCAGGAAAATGTTAAAAATGAGAGAGTTTTATTGGTAAAAATCCACACGGGCACCGTAAGGCGATGGAAAGCTAAGAGAAATAAAAAATGAGAGAGTCTTATTGGTGAAACCCTTCACGGGAACCTTGAGGCGACGGTAAGTTGAGAGAAAGAACAAATGAGAGAGGCTTGATGGTGAAAACTCTCTGAGCACTACAAGTCGAATAAGGATTGTGAATCAGATTGGATAATCGGAGCATTGAAGCCCAGTTTCACAGTTTAAAGGTACAACAAGAGTCGAACACCAGGATTACTTGATAGAATAGGCCACAGGTGCATGTCATGGTCATTAAAGTTGGTATCCACAACTGATAGGTTTCTACTTTGTAGTTTTCTCATTAGGAATCATCTTTTTCCATTGTCCTTCACTCTGTTCTTTTTGTCTTGTTCACTTCCTCTTCCTGAGTCTGTGCGGTTAGAACAAGTTATAAGTGACTTCAAAATTTTCACCAGCTGTCCAATTGCACAAAACGGGGTCTGACTAACATATCAAAATGTCATAAGTCAGAAAAGAACAACAAGCGCATTGATCTGGTAATAATCAACATGCTTTGGGATCCTTATGAAATACAAAGGTTTGGTACATATCAATTCAGGAACAATGCAACAGATGGAGGGTGTTAGGTGAACGGATCAAAGATATTTTCGGTGAAACACGACGGTTTGGTACATATCAATTCATGAACAATGAAACAAGATGGAGGGTGTTTGGTGAACGGATCAAATGTATTTTTTGTGGTAAGATTGACAAAAGGTGTTTAATCAGTGACAAGCGAGGTCTTCCGAGCAAAAATCAAAGTTATCATAGCAAGTGCAGGAGCAATAGACCTCAAGGCCAGGGCCAGTGGTTTAAGTAAAGAAAGAACAACATGCACGATGAGTGGGTGGCAATTGTCGTGCTTTGAGATTCATGTGAAACACTAGGGTTTGGTAAATGTCGGTTTATGAGCAATGCAACAGATAGAGGGTATTGGGTCTGAACGGAGAAGAGGTAGTTTCTGTGATAAGGATAACAGAGAAAGTGGTTAGTCAAAAAACAAACAAGGTCTTCGAGTGGAAATCAAAGTGATCATGGGAAGTGAAGGAGCAATCGCCATCAAAGTCGAGGCCACAAACCAACCACCACATTTTTAAAAAGACAAGATTTTTCTTTGATTTGAAACAGGGGTAGAAAAGTTCGGTTGTTCCGAAGAAATCCTTCGCAGGGGAAAGGCAAGCACCAGACAAGTTTGATGTTTGATTTTCAGGTCCCGCCTGGATAATGAGATTTAATTTTAAAAGTTCTTAAGATTCTCCTGGATAATGGGATTTAGTTTTTAAATTCTCAAGACCCTCCTCGATAATAGGATTTAGTTTTTAAGTTTTCAGGAACCTCCTGGATAATGGGATTTAATTTAAAATTTTTAGGACCCTCCTGGATAATGAGATTTAATTTTAAAAGTTCTTAAGATTCTCCTGGATAATGGGATTTAGTTTTTAAATTCTCAAGACCCTCCTCGATAATAGGATTTAGTTTTTAAGTTTTCAGGAACCTCCTGGATAATGGGATTTAATTTAAAATTTTCAGGACCCTCCTGGATAATGGGATTTAATTTAAAATTTTCAGGACCCTCCTGGATAATGGGATTTAATTTAAAATTTTCAGGACCCTCCTGGATAATGGGATTTAATTTAAAATTTTCAGGACCCTCCTGGATAATGGGATTTAATTTAAAATTTTCAGGACCCTCCTGGATAATGGGATTTAATTTAAAATTTTCAGGACCCTCCTGGATAATGGGATTTAATTTAAAATTTTCAGGACCCTCCTGGATAATGGGATTTAATTTAAAATTTTCAGGACCCTCCTGGATAATGGGATTTAATTTAAAATTTTCAGGACCCTCCTGGATAATGGGATTTAATTTAAAATTTTCAGGACCCTCCTGGATAATGGGATTTAATTTAAAATTTTCAGGACCCTCCTGGATAATGGGATTTAATTTAAAATTTTCAGGACCCTCCTGGATAATGGGATTTAATTTAAAATTTTCAGGACCCTCCTGGATAATGGGATTTAATTTAAAATTTTCAGGACCCTCCTGGATAATGGGATTTAATCTTAAAAGTTCTTAGGACTCTCCTGGATAATGGGATTTAATTGAAAATATTCAGGACCCTCCTGGATAATGGAATTTAGTTTTTAAATTCTTAGGACCCTCCTGGATAATGGAATTTAGTTTTTAAATTCTTAGGACCCTCCTGGATAATGGGATTTAGTTTTTTAAGTTTTCATGACCCTCCTGAATAATAGGATTTAGTTTTTAAATTCTCGGGACCCTCCTATATAATGGGATTAAGTTTTAAATTTTCAGGACCCTCCTGGATAATGGGATTTAATTTAAAATTTTCTGGACCCTCCTTGATAATGAGATTTAATCTTAATAGTTTTCAGGACCCTCCTAGATAATGAGATTTAGTTTTTAAGTTTTCAGGACCCTCCTGGATAATGAGATTTAATTTTAAAAGTTCTCAGGACCCTCCTAGATAATGAGATTTAATTTTAAAAGTTCTCAGTACTTTCCTGGATAATGGGATTTAGTTTTAAAATTCTCAGGACTCTCCTGGATAATGAGATTTAGTTTTTAAGTTTTCAGGACCCTCCTAGATAATGGGATTTAGTTTTTAAATTTTCAGGACCCTCCTGGATAATGAGATTTAATTTAAAATTTTCAAGACCCTCCCGGATAATGAGATTTAATTTTACAAGTTCTCAGGACCCTCCTGGATAATGGGATTTAGTTTTTAAGTTCTCTGGACCCTACTAGATAATGAGATTTAGTTTTAATTCAAAAATGGTTGAAAGATGTTTTCAAATAGATTTTACTGGAACTGTATTTGTAGACATGTGATTTTTGACCCACCCCAAGATTTTTCATATTTTAGCACGTAAATGTTTAATTTAGACCTAATATAGCTATTTCAACTATTTTTGACTTCTTTACTTTATTTTCGTCATAAAAATGGAAAATTACAAAAAAAAACTTTAGTATGTATCTTTCATAATTCTAAAAAAATATAATAATAAATAATACCTTATTTTTATCTTTATATAATTTTGAAAATACAAAAAAAATATAATAGTTTCATGTTAGCTTTTGCAATGTGTAGTATTTTTATCTTATTTTAAAATGATTCAATTAATGTGTTGGATCCCAATTTTAAGAGTTTCTGGAGCCCAATTCTTGGCCCAATTCGGATTAGTCCATTAAGCCTAGGGACCCTTCTAGACTCTTTTTTGGAAAAAAAACAAATAAAAAAAGACCCTAAGGACTTAACACAAAAGACCTAGGGAATAATGGGCAAAATACACAAAAATACACTTAAACCTAGACTCTACCTATAAAGTAATGCTTAAAAAATCTAAAAGGGACAAAAAAAAAAAGCTAGCCTAAGTATATACATCCGCGGCTGAACACATCGAGACCCCTCCCCTTGGCGATTGTCTTCTTCACCGAAGAGACCACCAAACGACCCCACCCCTCCAAAACTTCACCTTCTTCTTCATTCCAACAATACAAGATCGGATGGATGGCTAACAAAGAGACATAGCAGCCATCGCCGGGAACTTCGTTTAGCCAGCCGCCGTCGTGGACCTCGCCTAAAAAAAAGAGAGAGAGAGAGAGAGAGAGCTTCTGGATAGAATTTGAGAGGAGATCTTAAGAAAAAAGAAAGGAAGAACTAGGGTTTTGGTTTGGATTTCTATTTTTCCTCCTCCTTTGATTTTGGTTCCAACTTTTGATACATAAAAAATTGAGAAAATCATATTCTTCTGGCCTAATTTTACTTAAAACAAAAAATACAAAAATACATCTAATTTCTTCCTCTAAAGTTCTATTACGAAGCCATAGAGTTGGCTTGAGTTTGAATTCGGTTCAAAATCGTCGTCGTTGGTTCGTCGTCGTTCGTGGTTCCGATTCGGGTTCGTGGGCTCTGTTCGATCACGTTTTGCTTTCTCGTTTGGATTTGGAGCCAAGCTTGTATTTGCTGATTGCTTCTGTTATTATTGAAAGATTTTGCTCAACAGGTTTGTTTTCCTACTATTCTATCTTAATCTTCTTATAGTGATAAAAGTGTCGCAAGGGCCGTTTAAAGAGAGATTAATTTAGTATCTAGTTGTTTAGGTTTTAAAACATTAGTTCATGTTGCTTTAAGATGATGAAGATTCAAGATGTATTCTGATTTGCTACTTCTTTGGTTTAATTGTTCAATACGTTTTAGTTTGAATATTTGGATTGTTGTATTAGTTATTTTCATGCTTTGTCGGTGATCTGAAACCAACCTATAATTAGTCTTCCATTATTAATCCCAATCTGCAAATTAAGGCAGCTTTGTTATATTGAGGAATTTGTTCGTTCCTGTTCCAATCTTCAGTATTTGAGACCAATAATATTGGTGAGAATTTTCAGCTCAATCTTTTAGTTTAGTTTAGCTTTCTTGCTTTTCTTGGGATATCGTTTGTAGTAAACTTTTTCCTTCTAAACTCATCATTTTTGTCTGCCTTTATGATATTTTGAAACAATAATTTTCTTATTTTGTTTTAGTTGTAATAATGTTAAATAGACAGGCTATGGACAGTATATTAACAAAATGGGCATATTCTAGTTGTGATTTTCTTACCTTGTTTGCAAGTTCATTCACAATTTGAGTTTAAGCAAGTGAAGTTTCCCTAATTTAGTATTAAAGTAGCACTTCAGTTAATTGAATTCAAAGGCATTTTAGAATTATTTGGTGTTCTAAGGGATATTGTGTGCCAATTTATTGGTAAATATATTGTCTTATCGCTTTATTGGAATCATTTAGTAAGCATAAAAATGAAAGAGAGGTCCATGTGATTTGGGTTGGAATAAGTAAGTAGCGTAATCATAATATTAGTATTCTCCAAGGATTGAATCCAAATTTGCAAGTCAGAATGGGGTGATGAGGGATATTTTTAAGCGGCTCTTCCGTTGGCTTCGGTTCATTTTTACTTTATTGTTCTTCATTTCAGTTGGCAACTTTGTTATCCAATTTGAATGCTCATTGGCTGAATGTTTATTTTTATTTAGGTTTGTTTGGACTATCTTAGAGGATACTGGGTCGTGGGGATCGGATAAAGACCGAGGCCCACTAGCAATTAATTTGTTCCATGCTTTAGATATCGGGCTCGACCTAATAAGAATAAAAAAAATAAACATGTGCATGACTATTAGAAATCGAGGCGTGCCATTTAGTTGAATTTTCCATGGCCCTCACAAAGTCGAAAGTGCGTAGTTCCTTTAGGCGCTCTATTTTAAAAATTACTTTCTTAAACTCGGGTGTGCACTTATGTGACCCAAATCCAAATCCCAACAACGTTAAATAAAATATATCGGGGACAATGGGTGCATTTATGTGTTATGGTTCATGACATGTTTTAAATAACGTTGAAATTTCCCTAAAAATTATTAAATAAGAGCGGCTAATAAGTTAAAATATACCATAGGCTAAAACATGTCTTAAAATCAGATAATAGGCCAATTATAACAGTTGAGCATAGTTCTAGAACCACGGAACCCGGGAATGCCTAACACCTTCTCCCGAGGTAACAGAATTCCTTATTCGAATTTCTGTGTTCGCGGACTATAAAATAGAGTCAATCTTTTCCCCGATTCGGGATTGGAACCGGTGACTTGGGACACCATGAACTATCCCAAGTGGCGACTCTGAATTTAATAAATAAATAATCCCGTTTCGATTGTCACTTTAAGTTGGAAAAAAACTCCCTTATACCCTTTTCCGAGGGTGTAGGAAAAAAGGAGGTGTGACAGTACTTAAACAAGCTGATTTGATTCAAACTATAGTTTTAAAGGCATGCAATATTTTACTAAGATTCTGTGATATGAACTTTACATGCATTATTGCTCATCACTACTTCTCAACCTTTATTTACTATTGTTACTTACTGAGTTGGCGTACTCACATTACTCCCTGCACCTTGTGTGAGAACCCAAGCTTATCTGGGCACGGTAGCAGTTGTTGACTATTCCAGTTATAGATTTTCTCGGAGATAGCAAGGTAGATACCTGACAATCGTAGCCCTACTCTTCTCCCTCTTATCTTCCTTTAGTTGCATTTAGTTATTTTCCAAACTATGCTAGTCTCGAAATTGTCAAAAATATTGTAGCAGATACTCATGACTAGTGACATCCCGATGTCGGGCTTTCTTTTCTGCACTTTTGTTTGAGTTGAACTCCTTTATAATGGTTTTATATTAAATAGCTTTGGAATTATCTTGAAAATGAAAATATTGTGTTGTTTTGTTAATGTGTTGGGTTGCCTAGTACCATGATAGGCGTCATCATGCCATGGTTGGTTTTTGGGTCGTGACAAGTTGGTATCAGAGCCTAGGTTACATATGTCTCACGAGTCATGAGCAGGTTTAGTAGAGCCTTGCGGAGGGGTATGAAGACATTTGTACTTATCTTTTAGAGGCTATAGAACCCTTAGGAAACTTCACATTCTTTAATTCTTATCATGCGAATCTGTTAATACTGGTAACTAAACTTTTGTTATTCTATTCTCTCACAGATGACGAGGACACACGCTACCGGTCAGGACAGACAGCCACCGATACCACTAGTAGGGTCCGCGAGAGGCCGAAGTCGCGATCGAGGCCGTGGTAGGGTAGGAGTGTAGCCCGCACAACAGCTAGGGCGGCACCTGCAGATCCACCAATTGCCTTAGTACATGATCAGGTCCCAGTTGTGGATGCCCCAGCGGGACCAGCCCATGCACCGACTGTGCCTATTGTTATCCAAGTCTTCAGGAGACCTTAGCTCAGATTCTGACAGTGTGCACCAGTCTTGTTCAGGCGGTCTCTGTTACTACTACAGTAGCTACTTCCCAGGCCTAAGAAGGCACTCAAACTCCCACCGCTCGTACACTCGAGCAAGTTGTTCAGGGACATCAAACATAGGGGGCACCACCTGCCCAACTGGTTACACCTGCTCAAGACTATGTAGTTCCAGTCATGCCTGATGATGAGTAGCAAATATTTGAGAGGTTTGGTAGACTTCAGCCTCTGACTTTTAGTGGTACAGAGGGTGAGGATGCCCAGGGTTTCTTGGGCAAGTATTAGAGGATTCTCCGTATAGCGGGTATTCTGGAGACTAGTGGGGTCTTATTCACTACCTTTCAGTTCTCTGGAGCTGCCTTTACTTGGTGGGAGGCTTATGAGAGGAGTATGCTTGTTGGTGCAGCGCCCATTACCTGGCAGCAGTTCTTCGTTCTCTTTTTGTAAAAGTATGTGTCGCAATCTCGTAGAGAAGAGCTGCACAGACAGTTTAAGTAGATGCACCATGACTATATTACTATGACGCAGTACGAGATGAGATTTTCTGAGTTGTCCCATCATGCTATTTGGTTTGTTCCCATAGATAGGGTGAGGATCAGGAGGTTCGTTGATGGCCTCACATATCAGCTGCAGATTCATAGGACTAGAGAGAGGGTGTCTGGTGCTTCTTTTGAGGAAGTTGTTGTCATTGCTCGGGACATAGAGTCGATTCACTGCAGGAGCGAGTGGAGAGGGAGGCCAAGAGGCCTCGTGGATCCGGTAGTTTTGGTGGTGCTCCTCATGGGGTTCAGTTTCAGCACGGTAGAGGTCGTCCATTCAGACATGCTCTGTCTGCTCAACCAGTTCACCGTGGTGCATCATCGGGCCATGGTTCTCACAATTCTCATTAGGGCCATTCATCACTTAGAACCCTCCCAGCCTAGAGTTCGTCATGTGCTCCATCAGTTCACGACTCTTCCATTCCAGGATCTTCTACCAGTTACCCCGGTACGAGGGGTTCCCTCTAGTTCCCGTTACCAGCACTAGGGGGTTGTTTTTAGTGTGGGGACTTTGGGCATATGTGGAGGCAGTGTCCTCGTTGTCATAGGGGTCCGCCTCAGCAGAGGAGTCAGTCATCGACTTCAGCAGCAGTTACTTCCCCACCCGCCCAGCCAGCTCGGGGTGGAGGTTAGTAAGCTAGGTGTCGCCCTAGAGGGGGAGGCCGATCGGGTAGCGGTCATGCCAGTTTCTATGCACTACTTGCCAGAACAGATGCTATTACTTCAGATGTTGTGGTCATAGGTATTATCTCAGTTTGCCACAGGGATACCTCTGTATTATTTGATCATGGTTCAACTTTTTCATATGTGTCATCATATATTACTCATTATGTCAGGACCCAAACCAATGGACTGTGACGGGCACCAAGTACCTTACTCAACTGAGTACTAATGTAACGTATCTTTCTTATTACATTACCATATACACGTGACATACGAGCCTAATAGGCCAACATAATCACTTATAAACTCAAAACATAGGCCGACAAGGCAGTACAATCTTTCACGTACACTACATATGTCTACAAGCCTCTAAGAGTACATGAATGTCATAGAGGTCGGGACAGAGTCCCGCCATACCAAACAATACACGTTTAAATCATACCAGCCAAACAAGCAACTCTGAAGCAATTGGAGCACACTAACATCTTCCCCTGAGCTGATGGCCTACTTGGAGGGCTCTCGACCTGTCTATCGGGAACAGCGGGCATGAAATGCAGCGTCCCCAAGCAAAAGGGACGTCAGTACAAAAAATGTACCGAGTATGTAAGGCATATAAATAAGTACATAATAGACATGGAAGAAATATAGAGTACTTGATTCAACTTGTAAGTCTGAATAACTCTATAAATCATGAAATACTTTTAGCGTTATGCATAAGTGTATGAATGTCATGTTGTGCATACGTACATGTCTTATAACATCATTAGCCTCTGATGGCATCCCATCATATCATATCGGCCACTATGGGCAAAATGGTGGTGCGTATATAACGCCATAACCTCTTCCCATATCCCATATACATATACATACATATATACTCGTATATAATGCCGTTTGAATCATATTTCAGCCACTGTGGGCAACATAAGAATCATATACCAGCTGATCAGGTGGTGGTGCGTATATAACGTCGTAACCTTTTCCCATATCCCATATACATATATGTACATATATACGCGTATATAATACCATCTGGTCATGGGTCAATTCACATGTATAAATGAGTGAAATACATGAAAAATACATAATAATCTCGATATTCCTTCCGGATAAACTTTTCCAACTGCGTATTATTTTGAGACCCATAAACAGAAAATAATAATAATTTTCATGGGGAATCAAGAATATATACACCCCTAATAATTCTATGAATAGAGTAATTTATAGAAACTGTGTGTTTGCTCATTTCTTCAGTATAATTTGGACCATGCCAAAAGAAAGAAGGGAGGACCTTAACATACCTGTAGTAGGGAAAACTTCGTGTAATATTCCTTAAAACTCCAAAAATCTGCTTTTGTTGAAATTCTTAAACGAGATTTTGCTTAATTTGTTATGTTTGGACGAAATTGCTTCATAATAAAGCTTTTGATTGAGGTGGAACGTTTCTGCTTTATCTTCCTTGGCTTTTAAGCCTAAAGCAGATCTTGGTGTTTTGAATTTGAAGGAAACGTTTCTACTGATTTTGAATAGTGGACAATTGATTATGTTTCTATTGTATTTGGTTTGAAACCAAATACAGAATGTGATTTTGGCCACGAGTCTTAGTCATCTTCAAGACTAGTCATTTGGAAATAGTGACTACTTAGTCACTTCAAAAATTGTGGCTTTTTTCCACGTGGGGGGTGGTATATAAATTTTTAACCACTTATTAGTTAACCGGGTAATGTCCCGTTACCCGGTAATTAGTCAATTAACTGCATAATTTAAAAATTACCACAAATTACTTAAAATTCTATTTATTTTTAAAATACTTCATATATACTTTATATATTATACTATCATGGTCATATGGTATCTTGCATGGTACTAGTTCGTAATTATCGAGTATTATCGCTCAACCCGTATTTTATTCCAAATTGACTACATTCAACGAAACTCGTTTTTTTTAATCTATGTGCCCTCTTATTCTTCATAACACTTATTTATTTCTTGCTATAAATATCCTAAGTACGTTAACGTCAAGATGATCTCATCCCCGAGTCTTACATCGGTTAACTGAAAATGAAATTCTAACGCACAATACTTCAGGGTGCAACGGTAACTTTATACTACAAAACATGACATCACCATATTGTAATAATGCAGGACGTGCCATCTCACTTTCGGGCTCTCATTATTTTATTTATGGCGTATTTTCACGTAGGAAAATATGGGGTGTAACACCATTCCCCCTTTTGGAACATTCGTCCTCGAATGTTGACTGAAGCGCTTATCGTTCTCGTATCCCATAGCTCTTGCGAATACTTTAGCAGTCCTCTTGCCATCTAGGCAACTGTTTTGTGAATAAGTCCAAAGGACAGGGTGTTCCCCCCCTTTAGGCCTCTTTCCCACGCCATGAGTTGCGATCAAATTCCTTCCAATCTCATAACTGTTGCTACCTCCCATCATGAAGCTTCTACGATACTGACCTTGTAAGTGTGCTTATGCGAGTCTCCTCTCCTTTTTCCTCCTATTTTTAGCCAATCCTGAAGTTCTTCGCTTTTTGTCGAACTTACGAATATTGCTATATCTTATTTTATAGGCATGGTTATCCATTCGTATGACTTTACTGCATCTACATAGGTCATACTGTACCATAACTCTTACCTCGACTTCTTGTTACTGAGGTCTGCTACCAAATTCCAAGTTACTTTCATTGCATATCCCACACGTATAAATCTATGTCCTCTAATGCTTCCACATTACTATTCATCTTAAGAATGACAGCCTAATCTCTTCTCATACTTCATAACTATTATCCATCCATTGTTGATTCACCGTAATTTTGATCCATAATCCACCCTGATAACTTAACCTTTTATACAATATTGCTGTTAGGATTCACGTTTTATTGGGGAACATCAGAAATGATTAGATTAATCCACCTGGGGCGATACCCTTCTTTCATAACCGTATCTCACGGCATCCCAGTGTGATTTACGTTGCGTGGGTATTTTAATCCTGTCCAATTCATGAGATCCCTTTCTTTTATTCGTCAGATCATTACTCAATCGAAGGCCCAAACGTCATTTTTTTCTACAATAATTACACCCCCATTCTATTAACAGAGCAGCATTCCATCTCTTCTGAATGTTATTAGTCTTAGACTCCTTTGAGTTCCTTGAGGCTATACTAAACTTTCTATAACTTAGAGAAACCATTAGCTTTCTTTTTTTCATGGGTTTCAATTCCAATGACTTATCCGTTCTCAGAACCCTTTCACTTGCCTTTCCTCATCCTTACTCATATTTCGTTAAAACTTTGTCGCTCTACTATACTTTAGCTTGGGACCTATACATATATATTTATTCTATCCGCGACCTTCCTTCAACTTGCTTGCACCATAGATTTCCTTATGTTGTTCTGGAACATCAAGCGAGACATCACATCGTCTCTAACTATCCTTTACTCTCATAATCAGGCTTTTCGATAGCTAGACCATAGGCTGGAAGATATGCTACTGACGCCGCTGCTATCATTCCTGGATATTGAATTCCCACGCTTATAGACTTCTATCCGAAGTATGGATCATTCACGATCTTCTGCCTTTGAGTATCTCATACGTTATTCACCTTTGCCATAATTACCTTAAAATTTGGAATCATATCTTCTATCTCTTTCATGACCATCCTTCCACATATGTATAATTCACGTCCATAACTTGAAGCTTTATTATAATACTCGCACCTCTACTACATACACTATCCGATGGGAGCTTCATACTGATTTCTTATGAGGCTGGTACTTCTTCTAACTGGCTTTATTGTAGAGCCATTATAGATTATGGTTGTTATGTTATTTCTCTTGAACATCTGATATTAAGAGTGATTCTATCATGTTCTCAAGCACAACTTCTATAATTATTCAAGGTCCAATAATCATACTCTTGATTTACTTGGGTGATGTGATTCTTTAGCTTTCTCTTCTTTTCGATCAGCCTTTATGTAGGTGTAAGCTACCTTCCAATTTGTGGCTCATGGTATCAGTTATTACCTTAGCCTTTCATGGGCGTTATGGAATATCCATGATACAATCTTTTAACAATTCAATCATTTGTCTATGCCCAGGGCTCAGTTTTTCTTTTTAACTTATACCAGAGTCTTTTATGGCTATATGATTTCCAACAAATATAATGCTCCAAAATATTGAGTGTGTCAATAACGTACTAACTCTGGATCATTGATCGAATAATTCCTTTCGTTCCATCTCAGCTCTCTTAAAACATATGCAATTACTTTTTCTAGTCCTTATGCCCCTTGTTGCGTGCATACTTAACTCATCCTAGTTTCCATACATGCCAGAATTTTTGTGCAACTCATATAGTCTTAAATATTACCTTCGGTCTTTCTCCCCGTTCATTAGCCACGGTAGGTGCCACTTTCTTTTGGAGGGCATACAATTTTTGTTGTGAGACTGCTTTTACATGACCTTTTCTTCATTAGGTTACCGTGCTTAGGTTGAAGCCTTCTTACTTATTTCCTAAGCTATTCCTTTACTTTAGTACTTACGGAGGATCCTCTGACTCTTGTAAAGATGTGAGCTTATTATATTGTATACTTGATGGATAACTTTTATCCATCCATTATTGATCCACCTTAATGTTGATCTAGAACCTTTCATTGATAACTTGAAACTTCTCACGTAATACATTGGCAGTAGGGCTTACGTTGCATCATGGAACATCTGGAGTAATTAGATTAATCCACCTAGGGGTGATACCATGCTTCCATAACCATATTTCATAGCACCTCAATGTGATACACCTTACATGGGTATTTTAATCCCGTACAATTCATGAACCCCTTTTTTGTTTCTTCAAATCATTACATAACCATAGGCCCAACTTCATCCTTTATCTATCACAATTACACCCTTATTCTACTATCAAGGCAGCATTCCATCTTTTTCAAATTCTATTAGTCGTAGACTCCTTTGAGTTAATTCAGGATATGCTAAACTTGCTATAACTTAGAGAAACCATTACATCTTTTGTTTCCATGGACATAATTCCGAGTATTTATCCATTTTCATCACCTTCTCACATTCCCTTTCTTATCCTTAAATCTTGTCGTTCTATCATACTTTAGCTTGCGACCGATTTCCTTATGCTTTTCTGGAACATCAAGCAAGACATCACATCGTCCCTAACTCTTCTTTATTCTCTTGACTAGGACTCTCGATACCTAGAAACCATAGGCTAGAAGATAT